TCTCTTCCTCATTGCAACCTTCATTCATTTTCCTCATCTCCAAACTTAAGGTATTTCTATCATTTTTTTTCTTCTACTGTTTTTTAAGTATTTTGAGTCACATCTAACATATTCTGACTTAATTTATTTTCAATCTTTTTATGTCAAAATGTTAAAGTTTAAAAGATTGAAGGAGATATTTGAACACAAAATTGAAGAAATAATACTGGAACAAGAAGATTGAAGAAGAAATATTTTTGTCATTATTTTTCTTCTTCTGAATTTCATATATTATTAGTTGTTGTTTTTTAAATATTATGCTTTTTTTTTTAAATATGTGTATTGTAATATATATATATATATATATATATATATATATATATATATATATATATATATATATATATATATATATATATATATATATATATATATATATATATATATATATATATATATATATATATATATATATATATATATATATATATATATATATATATATATATATATATATATATATGTATATGTATATATATTTAAAACGAAAATGTTATTCAAATTTTTTTAATATATTTACTTAAAACAAGAATATATGACTTTTTTTATTTAAAAAAATTATATTTATTTATATATAAATACTTATTTATTAAAACAGATTTTATTTATTAAATAAAACAAATTATATTATATATTTATTTAAAATAGATTATATTTATTTATTAAATAAAACATATTTTATTTAATAAATCAGTAATAAACATAACGCAAAAAGGTTTTTTGTTTTAAAAAAAATTGTGAAGTGAAATTCACGTGACAAAGTTGTAAAGTGAAATTCACGTCACAACTTTGTGAAGTGAAATTCATGTGGCAATGTTCTGAAGTGAAACTCACGTGGCAAAATTGCGACGTGAATTTCACGTGGCAAAAAAGTTGTCACACATCCTCCTGCCATGTGAATAGTCACGTCGCAAAAACTTTGTTGTGATGTGATTTTCAAGGTTGTGACGTGAAAATCACGTGGCAAGAAACAATTTTTTCGTAATGATAAAAAAATAATTTTATTATTTTATTATATTTTTCATTTTAAATCTTAAATAAAAAACCTAATTTTTATTTCAATTTAATTAGTTTTAATTCAAAATGTAAATAACATTAATTTAAATTTAAATATATTTAATGCTGATTTTTTCTTTCCTTTTTGATCACACCCAAATAATGTATTTGAGTGTCTAAATTGGAATAAAAAAATAGCATAAAAAAGAAAAAAAAATATCAACCGCACCTACAACACAAATCTCTCATCATCCTCATAATCTTCTTCCACTATATATACACACCTCGTTTCACTTTCGATTGGTAATTTTTGCTTCTTTTTAATATTCGATTCATGTTGAGTTTGTGTGTTTTGCTTGTGGATTTGTGAGAGTTTAAATGTGGGAGGAGAAAGTTTAATTTGAGATTGAAGGAGAAATGAGAGAATACTTGAGAGGAAGAAGAGAATGGGGTTGTGTGAAAGAGAAAGAGGGTAAAATGAAGTTTTTTTTCTCTCCTTTTTTTCTTATTTTATTTATTTAATTAATTTTTTTAATTAAAAAAGGGACATGTGCCAAGATATGAGTGGTTGTTGGAGTTAAGTGTTAGATTAATTATTTACTTAATTAAATATGGATTGCCATAATTAATTATTAATTAATTATATTATGGTATATTGTTATTAAATACTAAATAGATGAATTGTTTGATTGTGTTTTCTGTCTGAATGAACCGTGATGGGTTGAACCATTCAGTTAAGCCCAATGAGAGGTTCCTACCCTCAGCCGTTTAACTATTTAAGTGTCTCCCCATTATACAATTAACATACGCTGAAAATCTTAAAGAACAATGAGGATAGTAATCCTCTCATACCCACTCTTTCCGACGATAATCTCTTTAATCTTAACAAGGTACACCATTATAATTATTCTTAATTACTCTATAATAATAATATACTATAATTTGTATCTATCGGATTCATTTAAATTCACCATTATGTTAATGGGGTATCCTGTACAAGACTCCCTCATAGAGTTTATTGGTGTTTGTTGAATAAGCAGTCAGATCGTAATCGAGTGGCCCAGATGTCACAATCCGACAACCTAGATCATGATCGTATGATGGGTCCAAAATTTTCAAGCCCATTCCTTTTGTTTTTACCTCTTATTGGGCTCAAAACCTAGGCCCAAGTTGAATTGCTCATTTTAAACCCCTTTGCTATTTCTTGCATATGCTCACTTTTTTTATTTTTATTCTTTTTCATTTAACTAATTTATAAATTAATCTTAATTATTGTTAATATGAATATTAAATAATTTAAATACTTTATTATTTATTTTCGATGACAAATTAAATCATTTTTAATCGAGATTTAAACAAATCTTTTTTTTAAATAAATCAGATGAAAAAAATATTTTAGGTGCAAGCCTCTTTATTTCCCGAGTGTTTGGATACAAGTTGTAGATCTTGCCATTCAGATACTCGTCTTCCGCACCAAAATACAATAATTAATTGAATTCTGTCCGTTCTTTTTATGGATTAAAAAGGATTAATTGGACAAAGACCTATTTTTTTCCCGAGTGTTTGGATAGAAGCTGTAGAGCTTGCCGTTTAAATATTTGTCTTTCGTTAAAGAACCGTGATTCAATTGGCCTCACATATTTTGCAATAAAATCGGACAAAAAAGGATTAATTGGACGTAAGCCTCTTTTCCTCCCGAGTATTTGGATACAAGCTGTAGAGATTGTCGTTTGAATACTCGTCTTCCACATAAAAAACAATTCCAACTTATCAAAATTATCTTTTTCAACTTTAACGCGACGTTGAAAATATTTTCATAAACATATGATGTTTATGCATTCCAAACATAATACAAGCAAATGCTTCATTTCGCCCGTGCGCGACGAACAAGCAATGCTTAAATGCGACCTAAACATCGTTCGCTAAAATCAACCAACAAACAAACACTTTCTACAAAGAACTACGTAGCTTTGAATTCCTCATCGCACCTTAAGATACGTAGGAGCAAGATTTGTCATCTTGTCAAGCACCATAATAAAATAATATAAATTTCCCCTTTGTAAATACCTCATAATAATTAGAAGGAATCAAATAACATAAACTAATACTAACATTCACAAAACTAACAAAACGGTTCCCGTTGAATACTACAGTTATGTGGGGGTGATAATACCTTTTCCATGCATAACTGACCCTCGAACTCAAATTTAGTTGCGATGACCATATTTTTTTGCTCATTAAGAGTTTTATCGACGTTTCTCTTAAACATAAAATTTTGGTGGTGACTCGTCGTATTTCGAGTGTTGCCACGCTCGAGTATTTTTCGCACTGTGGTTACGAAAGACTTTCAGGTACACATTCTCTAATATCCACTCTCACTGCGATTATCTTGATCCCTAAACTGAATTAGGCGTTAAAGTGCCAACCATGTAGGAAACCCCTAGGTCCACCGTACCAGAGATTAACAACGCCAATTCAAGATCAGCGTCTCCGATTCAAGATGCATCACGATCGCAACCTTCAGTCAAAGAAGTCACATCAATGAATTACTTATGAAGCTTCGTTCCACCAGCATCCACAATATTCTCCATTTTTGATTCTGGAAAAGAATAATTTTCAAAATCAAGACTCTTTAAATTAGTTTTTATTTTTCAAATATCACAAAAAAAACAAAAAAAACTCTGGTAGGAGCCCAACAGAATCTCTAAGAAAATAATAACATAGAGAAGAACACAATTCCAAAAGAAAAAAAGGTTAGATATAATCCCATAGAAAACCACCATCGACAGAAACAAGCAAACACTTACGTTGCACCATGAGCTATTGACTCACATAAAATAAGATTCTCAAAGACTATCAGAGAAAGCACATGAGCTAGTTGCATACCTACTTAGATATCTTTTCCTAACAAAAAAGATGCACTACTACTAAACGTGTAAACAACAACGCCATGATCACCACGGTTCTTTCTTACACCGTGGTGACATCTCTAAACTAAGGCGCTATCATATTATTTTTGTTTTTTGATTGAAAATTATTTGTATATAATAACAGTTGAGGAGCCAATCATAGTGATACCATCAAGTTTTCATGGATTCGAACCTCAACGCCCTCATATAAATTATTCCTTTAATGTTAACGCACGCCTTTTCTTTTTTATTTATTTTAAATAAAAAATTTAAAGGGTTATGACTACGGTTGATGAGTTCCACCGTTATGATATATTTTATTTTTTTATTTAAAATTTTTTTATTTAAAATTTATAATCGTAATAGTATACACTCCTAATTAACTTGTCTTTTAAATATCTTTTTTCCATTAAAAATAGAAACAATACACGATTTCAACCCTAAACCCTAACGTTCAATACTGAAATTCGAATTGGCAACATAGTATAGTGCTAAACTATTGAAAGACCATCTCTAATCCTAGCTACGTCACCCAACGAAAGGAAAATCTCAATAAAACAAAAAACTCAAAAAAAGAAAGGGTCTTTAAGAGAATTAAAGATCACTCTAATCATCTAAAAAATCATATACCACAAAGAGACCGTCAAATCATAGGTGACGGACAAATAGAAAACCGACTCATATGCACCACTAATAAATTCTAATTGATAGGGTAATGTAGTGTATTGTCTACAATCCAAATCCAGTTAACGTGAATTCCTTATATTATTAGTCTGTGTTGTGCCGACATTAACTTGTAGAGTAATTAATCTTAAAATTTAAAGTCAGCAGTAAGATTGATTATCTCCCTTAAAAAACGTGCAACCCTTACTTGTTTTAAGATAAATCATCTTGCTATATAATATAGTACATGCACATTGTATTTTATCAACAAAAAGGAACACATGGTATATTTAAAGATCATTCATATTCAGATGCATGCCTATAAATACACTTCATATTTGGAACTTAAAATGCAAGTCTTTCTTCTCTTTTGAAGCATTATTAATATATAATATGGCTTATTATTTCCTTTTATTTGTGTTTGTTTTTGCTAGTCAAGTGATTGGTGGATTCAATACAAAGTTACCACCTCCATCCTATGGAAATACAATAACCATTCTTAGCATTGATGGTGGTGGCATTAAGGGGATTATTCCTTCTGTTGTTCTTGAGCGCTTGGAAAATGCTCTTAAGGTCAATACCCTACTTATATTTCATATAAAACTTAAACCCTAGTATATATTTTGTATTAACATATTTTGATTTGGTTTCAGATTGTGTCAAATGATGAAAAAGCAGCGGTTGCAGATTATTTTGATGTGATTGCTGGGACTAGCACTGGAGGACTCATTGCTGCTATGCTTGCTGCTCCTAACTCAAATGACCCTACTCGTCCTGCATCAACTGCTGCAGAAATCTTAAAATTCTACGTGGATTTTGGTCCTTCTATATTCAACAAAACTTCTGCTGCGTAATATTTCATAAGAATTTATTTTGGTTAAATATTTGTTTATTTTTTGACAACTTGTTATCAACCCACCGCTCATGAGGGTTATTTAAAGCAAGAACAATATTCCGTATAGAACGATCCGACACAGAAAATGCTGACTCCTAATAAGATTTGAATTTGAGATCTTGAGATGAGCACACTTAAATATTTGTTTTAAGTGAAGTTTATTAATCACTCTATCATTTGATTTTTGTAGTGGTTGGAATCAAACTTCTCCTCGTCCAAAGTATGATGGGAAGTTCTTACATGAAAAAGCACGTGAGATATTGCATGAATCAAGATTGCATGATACATTGACCAATCTTGTAATTCCAACTTTCGATATCTTAAAAGTCCATCCAGTTATTTTCTCAAGCTTTAAGGTAAACATATAATAATGACTTTTGATAAAAGTACTCGGTCTGAACATATATTTATAAATAATGACAATTTTCACCTTATAAACTGGTTTTTTTGATTCAGATAGATGAAGTTCCTAGCCTAGATGCAAAATTGTCAGATATATCCATTGGAACTTCAGCTGCACCAACTCTCCTGCCACCCTATTACTTCAAGGATGGTGATAATGAATTCAATTTAGTTGATGGAGGTGTAGCTGCAGGAAATCCGGTAAGCTAATCAATAATTAGTAAGAGATTAATTACTAATTGTGGATGTAATATTCTATGAACTTTCTGACATGCTTAAGTATGGTATATTCAGGCATTGGTTGCATTGAGTGAAGTGGCACAACAACTGAACGCCAAGAATCCTGATTTCGTTCGTGTGAAGAACTCAAACGAGCCTATCAAAATCGTGTTGTTGTCGTTAGGATGTGGAAGATTGGTGCCTCCAGGTGTTGGTGCCAGACTTGCATATTTCCTACCAGCTGTTCAGTGGATACCCCTTGGAGTTTTAGGTCTAGCTACTGCTGCTGCAGACATGAATGAATATCACCTCGCATCCGTGTTCCCTGACCTCCCGTCTTCTGAGAATTACTACCTTCGGGTCGAGGTACTTGAAAAATTGATGTATCTGATTAAAAGAAACACTATATACATAAATCTCTTGGATATTCTTTCTCGTACGATATTTGAGTATATTTTTATAATATGCAGGAGTATAACTTGGATCCATCGATAGGTTTTGATGATACTAGCAATGAAAGTTTGGAAAAACTTGTAAAGGCAGGAGAGGATTTGTTGGAACAAACTGTTAAGACTTTGGATGTAACTTCTTTTGTTCCACATGAAAAGCCAAGTGAGGGTACAAATGATGAGGCTCTTGAAAGGTTTGTGCACTTTTAAACACAATAACATATAACTTTTTCATGCTTTTTGTAGAAATTAACCTATTAAAAATGCATGATTTGTTATTTGCAATCTCCTAATTAAATATAAAGACTAATTATATATGTGACAACTATATATATTTTATGAAGGTTGGCTAAGTTTCTGTACATCGAGAAGGTGTTGCGTTTGAAAAAGAAATCAATGGAAAAAGGAGGACGACCATTTGTTGAATAAACAAGTGGATATTGCTACAAAATTGAGTGATTCTTCTAGTTTGTTGTTTGCTCTCAAATGTATTTAGTCTAGCTTTGTCAATCATGTGTGTGTATGTGATTTTGTAATGGAATAAGGGTAAGGGTTGGACTGCACTTTGTATCCCTTGTAATGCTTTTGCTTATAATAAAGAAGAATTTGGTCATTTCCTTTATCTTTGAGTGTGCCTTTTATTGAATTTTTTTCACTATTAGATATTTAATTTTGTGTGTTAATTTGTGTAAAGCAATGTATATACTTATTAGGAGGCTAGCATAGGCAATTAGTTATTTAACTTTGTATGTTAATATAACTGGATCACCAGACACATACATGTATAACACTAATTAACTCTTGCAACATCCATCATGCATTCTTTGCTATATATATAGGTAGTTATGGGTTTGTAAATCTTAAGAGAGATTAAATGAATAATGTAAAAAATACATTCTATCATGGTAATAATCATCCTCTCTCTCTCTCAATAGAATTCTGTTATGTAACTAACTAACTTTCCCTCTCTTCTTCACCTTATTCGTTGAGCCTCTATGAAAGAATATTCCAATGTTACACTGACTGCACCAGGCAGCAACGTTCGTTAATCGCCACTGCACACAATGTTTTTTGCACCCAATTCATCCTCTTTACACCATTTCGGTCCGAATATTTCAATCAAATTGCAGGAGAATAATTAACTTCTCTGGAATTTGTAGGTCAAAAGTGTGATCCTATCTCATAGAGTGGTAGTGAATCCTCACATTTCGATTAAGTTCAAGACCCCTCAAGATCAGCTTGAAGGCAATATCTCTAATGAATATGAAGAGTGGATCATTCAAGATTAAGCTATTTTAATCTGGTTTCTTTCCACGATATCAAAACATGTTCTTCCTCGCGCTCTCTCACGCAAGCATGCCTTTGAAGTTTGGGATAGAATTCACAAGTTCTTCAATGCGCACATGAAGGATCGTGTTCGCCAACTAAACGTTGAATTGAAATCCATCAAGAAAGGTACCAGTTTAGTTACTGAATTTGTGTTACATGTTAAAGTTATTGTGAACTCATTACTTGTAGCTGGAGATATTGTTTCTAAACAAGATAAAATTGACTCTATCCTCAATGGTCTTCCTTTGGAGTTTAATTTGTTTGTTATGCAAATGTATGAAGCTCATGAGCCTCAATCTCTCTATGATTTTGAAGTGCTCCTTTATGTTCATGAGGCATAACTTGATAAGTTTCATCAAGAGCTAGCTATTTCCTTCATTTTAGTAAATGCAGCGAATGCTAATCATCAAATAGTTTGTGTGAATTATAATTCTGCTCATAGTCGAGGTCGTGGACATACAATTTATGGTCAATGGCGTGGTCGAGGCCGTGCCTCATTTGGAAGCCATGAATGCACAAATTATCAGCTTAGTGGAAAATATGGTCATGTTGTGATTGATTATTGACATCGATTTGATGAGCAATTCACCTTGTCTCAGGCTCTGACTACATCTCAACACTTTGCTGATTTGTCTGCAGACAAACTTGAAGCTTCCACGGACGATCCTCAAGCCCTGACCTTAATGTCCACTACACATGAGTATTCCTTGCCTCGAGACCTTGAGAGAAAGGCTTGGTTTCCGACTCAGGTGCATTTCACCATCTTTCTTTTCATACTTGTTATTTGCATTCTAAAGAAAGCCTATTCAGACCTGTCATGTTAGTGTTGCTAATGGCCAATCCATCTCAATAAGCTGTACCGACTTTAAACGTGTTTCTTCTTATTGGTATCCCTCTTCCACTGATAGAGAAGAGAGGGAGACTATAAAGAGAGAGAAAGAATAGAAAGTAGAGATAAGGAAGGAATGTTTTATTTATTCAACAAAAGTATACATTGAATGATTATTTTCTAACTATATATAACTGTCTAAGTAGTTATAACAACCCAATAACAACTAATAATAGTTGTATACACTAATACACTAATACATGCATCATATCCCGCCCCTTGAAATCTTCCTTGTCCTCAAGGAAAACCTGTAACATCAAAATAAGGAAACTGGAGCTTGAGTTTGTATAGCAACTCCCAAGTAGCCTCTTCCATAGCCTCCCCTTTCCACTGAACCAAAACCTCAGTAACTGCCCTATTATGTCTCTGAATCGAGTGCCTCTTCAAAATCTTAAATGGCTCCTTAGGATCATCCAAACTTCCCCACTCTTCAGGAAGTGCAACCACGAGAATGTTCGCATTAGGACACGGTTTCAAGTGAGATACATGAAACGTAGGATGAATTCGCAAAGTAGTTGGGAGAATCAACGTGTATGCAAATTTTCCCACCCTATGTAGCACCTGATAAGGACCATAAAACCGAGGAGAAAGCTTTTCGGAAGCACGATATTGAGAAGAAGATTGTCTATAGGGCTGTAACTTTAGGAAAACCCAATCTCCTTCCTTGAATTCCCGATCACTGCGATGTTTATCAGCCTGCCGCTTCATACGTGCTTGAGCCCGAACCAAGTTACCTTGTAATTGCTGGATCATATCCTCCCTTACAATGAAGCTTCGATCTACCGCATCAACCTTGGTACTTTGAGGGCAATAAGGAAGATGCAGAGGGGGTGCTTTACCATACACAATCTCATAAGTGGAAGCTTGAATAGCAGAATGATAAGTGGTATTGTACCACCACTCAACCAAAGGTAACCAATTGACCCATTCCTTAGGCTGCTGCCATGTCATAGCCCTCAAGTAATGTTCTAAGCAACGATTCAAGACTTCACTTTGACCATCCGATTAAGGGTGGTAGGCTGTTGTTAAGCTCTGAGAAATGCCCAATTGACCAAGGAAAGAACCCCAAAATTTACTTGTAAACAAGGGATCTCGGTCACTCACAATGTTGGCAGGTGCACCATGTAATTAGTAAATTTTAAAAATGAAAAATTCAGCCAATTTTGATGCACTAAAAGGGTGAGCAAGAGGGATAAAATGGGGATATTTGCTCAATCTATCAATAACTACCCAAAATGTTTCTTTACCATGAGATTTAGGAAGCTTTTTAATGAAGTCCATGGCTATACTTTGCCACACTCCCTCTGGAACTGGCAGGGGCTGAAGTAAACCAGCAACAACTCTAGGTTCATACTTGCATCTAAGGCAAGTCTCACATTGCTGAATGAACTTTGTGACATCTTTGGAAAGGCCCTTCCAATAAAACATGCTCTTGATCCTTGCTATAGAAGCTCTAATGCCCGAATGACCTCCTTGATATGAAGAATGAAGCCATTGTAGAATCACCAATCGTACTTGTTCATCATTAGGAATGACCAGCTTCTGTTTCCTATACAACAAATTATCCACAGCAGAAAAATGGGGATGCAAGGTTGGATTAGCGAGAACCTGCTGCTTGAGGTCATGCAAAGCTGAATCTTGTTCATAGCTTTTAAGGAGAGAGTCCTATAACTCAGAAGAAATAGAAGAGACGGTCAATTGTAAAACTTCACCATGCAAGTCTCTCGACAAGGCATCTGCATCCACGTTATCCTTACCCTTCTTATACAAAATTTCATAAGAAAGACCCATGAGCTTAGTGACCCATCTATATTGGGCTGAAGTAGATAGACATTGCTCCAATAGGTACTTCAAACTATGTTGGTCAGTAAGAATTGTAAACGTGTTCAGGGAGAGATATTGGTGCCACTTAGAGACTGCATGAACCAATGCCAATAATTCTCTGTCATAAACTAACAAAAGCCTGTTTTTAGGAGACAAAACCTTGCTAATAAAAGCCACAGGGTGCCTGTCCTGCATTAGCATAACACCAATTCCAGTGCATGAAGCATCTGTTTCAACCATAAATGGCTTTTGCATATTAGGTATGGCCAATACCGGAGAATTACTCAAAGCATCTTTCAAGGTAATGAAGGTAGTGTGTGCCTCTTGACGCCAATGGAAAGAATCCCGTTTGAGTAAATCCGTAAGAGGAGAAGCAATGCTGCTGTAACTTTTAATGAACCACCTGCAGTAACCCGTCAAACCTAAAAATCCCCTCAATTGCTTAACTGTTAGAGGTGCCGGCCAAGCTCTCACAGCTTGAACTTTAATTGGATCATGGTAAATATAAATAAATTTGAGCTTTATAATATTTTTTAATTATTACCTATATTTTATGAAATATATGTCATGGATTATAGTCTTTCAACTTGGTTTATTAGTGTGTTAAAACCTAAAATTTTGTGATGGAGACGAAAAATAAGATATAGTTGTTTTTTTTACATCTATTATAGTCTATTGAGCTTGTTTCTTAGAGATAAAATAACCTAAAACTTTATGATGGTGAAGAAAAATATTGAATAATTTTAGATGCAATATACCATAAGGTAATGTGAATACGATGAATATAAATAATATTGAGCTTGTTTATTTAAGTTTAACTATTACGCATATGTATAAATTATGGGTCATTCAGTTACAGTACTTTTATTACATATATTAAACTACAATACAATGTGAATATTGTGAATACAAAAAACATTGAACTTGAACATTTAACTTTAGTGATTACCCATATATATATATATATATATATATATATATATATATATATATATATATATATATATATATATATATATATATATATATATATATATATATATATATATATATATATATATATATATATATATATATATATATATATATATATATATATATATATATATATATATATATATATATATATATATATATATATATATATATATATATATATATATATATATATATATATATATATATATATATATATATATATATATATATATATATATATATATATATATATATATATATATATATATATATAATTTATTTGTCATTGATTTATAGTCTTTTAAATTTGTGGCTTAGTAACAAAGAAAAACGAAATTTAGTGATGGAGAGGTAACATATTGAATATATTTACATCTAATAAACTATAATTAAATGTTAATTGGTAAAT